CAAACTCCGGGCTTGGATTCACATTCCACTAGCTGTGTATAGTTGGCTTCCTGTTTTCTTCCCGCTGCTCGATTAGCTGGGCAATTTGGGTCATTCCCCAAATGCCCACGTTCTCTGCATCGGAAACATGCGGGGTTAGTTTTCGTGGAAACAAAAAGTGTAGCCCGCTGACCATTTTTCCTGAACAGCCACACTTCCGGGAAACCGGTGATTCCCCTGAAGGAACGTTGAGACAAGCCATTCTGGAATCATGATTGGGGGCGAGGAAGTCAGGGCTTGCTTCCAACCATGCGACAACTGAGTTGTTCGGATACTCCATCTCCAACCGCTTAAACCACCAGTACCCTGCCAAGCCAAACTTTTGTCACCTCCTGAATTCATAGAGGGCGTGGGCAGGCCTGGTAGAGGCTCGGTACAGCCTCGACGCATGCGTGGTGGCCGCTCGTTTTGAAAACGGAAACGGGCGACCAGAGAATAAAAAAAAAAACAAAGAAAAAAAAGAAAAGTGAGAAAACGGAAGAATATTTCTCCCTTTGAAAACGGCGCGAGCGGGGGCTGTTCCTCTTGATGCGGCGCAAGTTCTGGAAACAAAGGGCCTCGCTGCACTACTCTCGACATGCAGAAAAGACAAAAATCATGGCGGTGCATCTTTCCACATTCTAGCGGAAGATTCACTCTCGTTTTGCACATTTCGAGAGTAGTGCAGCGGGGCCCAAAGACGCTCACGCAGTGTACAAGGGAAAAAAAAAAGGACAGATACAGGGCCTCGCTGCACTACTCTCGAAATGTGCAAAATGAGAGTGAATCTTCCGCTAGATCATGAAAAGGTACACCCCCATGATTTTTGCCTTTTGTGCATGTCGAGAGCAGTGCAGCGAGGCCCACGCCTCATCCTACGTGATCAGATTCGCTTGCGCTCCACTTCTCGCCACATGTACAAAACGAGAGTGAATCTTCCGCTAGAACACGGAAAGATACACTGCCATGATTTTTGTCTTTTGTGCATGTCCAGAAAGTTTCGTGGCCCTTTTTTTTTTTTTTTTTTTTTACTAAATTGAGAAATTGTCCAAAAGAAGGAAAAAAATAAAAGAAAGATCGACTGCCACGATTTGTCTTTTGCGGTAGCTGCGGACATCCTACGAGATTTGCAATGGCCCACTCTGAACACTTTTCCAGACTACCGAAATGGGAATGAACTTTACGCTGGAACATGGAAGGATACAGAGAAGATCAGCATGGCCCTGCTGAAGAATGATGACTGCTGGCAATAGAGCCATTCACGGCTCTCTGACTACGATCCCGCCATCCGCGCCTTCGCCTGCTCGTCTGGCAGGAGCAGCCACCGTATGGGGAAAAAGAAAACGTATGACAGAAAAAGGAAGAAGGGAAAAAAAAAAAAAAAAAAAAAACAAGGGAGGGAAAAAAAACGAAATAACGAGCACTGAAGTACCGGTCGCCAGCATTGAAGGACGGGTCAGCCCCGTATCACGACCACTTGCAAGCTGGATTCCCATAAGACAAAGAGGTTCGGTAGCTTGCCAACAATGAGGTTTGGGAAGGCTGCTTCGGGGGTACTGGTGGTAATCATGCTATGCAGACCCTCCTATAGATTATCAAACTGAACCCAAACATGATTGGGCAGCATGTTTCGTCTGTGCCTGGTCGCTTCTCCTTGGGGGGCTCTTGGAGGTTTCCATGCCCTGATTGTCACCACCAAACCTTTGCAATTGAGAGAATCCAATGACTTGAGATACCTTGTATAGCTCTCTTCAACTCAAAGGACCATGACCGTGTTTCTTCCTCTTTTGTGGAGCGAGATTAGAGGTTCCGTCCCTGGAAGAGATTGCAGAGCTCTGAGACGGTCGAGCTCTTTTGTCATTGAGAGACAACTCCTTGCTTTTGTGTGAAAAATTGAAGAGGACAACGTGTTTTTCATAAAGCCCGTTGACCTCCTCCAAGTCCTCTTCTGGGTATTCCCACACATCGACGTCCGTATCCTCGGCCCCTTCCACTTGCAATTTTTCCTTGATGATTTTGACCTCGGACTTGATTCGGGTTCTGGCTATCAGAAAATCAAGTGCTCGCTGTCCTAATTTTGTCGGTCTCTGTTCGACCTCCTCCTCCCTTCCCTCCACCTGGGTTGTGAGAACTCCTGTGGTAGCTGTTCTGTGCACAACTGCTGTATTTGTCGGACCGTTTTTCCCAGCTCCCGGTTGATGGGACCCCACCACCTGAGCATAGGTAAACTCCATGTCAGCCTTGGCTCCTTCACCTGCTAGTGCCATGGTTGGGATGTTCTAAAAGACGAGAGAAACATTATATTTAATCTACGAAAATACAGAAAACATAAACAATTATTGTAGATTCAACTTCTACAGTGGTTGAATCTGATTGTTTGTAAAATATGATTAATAAAAATCACAGAAGATGATCGCGGTGACGTATCTGCCTACGCTGTAACGGATGGCCGTGCCTGCTGGTGATGAATGTGGTGATGTGGAAGGTTGGACTTGATTGCTGGAGGTGAAAGAGGTGTGGAAGTGTGAGGAACGAGCCCTCAAGTAGAGGCCTTGCCATGATGTACATGTTCTGGGCTAAGGCCCCAGCAAGCCTCGTGCCCGCCCTAAGTGAAGGCGGGCCAGCAAATCAACAAGAGCCCTCTGTGCCAACATTTCAYGAAGTGGGGTCCATACAGTTGCAGCACGCCAGTTGGTTGGAGTGCACCGAGTCTYGGATTTCAGCAAATGCTGAAAGCCCAGGGCCTCTGAGTTAGTTAGGCCCTGGGCACTCGAACGTGAGGCCGACAATGCATGCTGGGTATAGAGGCCGAAAATGCCAAAGGGAAATCGGCCCACTATCTGTATCTGGACGCAGGCCTTGATGAAGGAGGCGCAACTGCATTGCCCCGGGGCCCAACTGTATCGGGCTGGGTTCAGCCTCTGGGCCCCGGTCACAGGCTGAAGGGAGGCCGCCCACACGCTGGACTGGCATATAGGCAAGCAGGGCGAGTGGGCAGGGATCTTGGCCATTGCGGGCAATGCCGGCACGCTGCGCAAATGCGAGCTGCCGCTGCTGCTGAGGTGCAAGGCAGGCCAGCGCTAGGCGGTAGGGCGCTGCCTGCGCACCAGGGCACTGGCGGCCATAGCCGGGCCGCATGAGGGTGCAGTAAGGGTGAAGAGCGAAGGTGGTCTTCGGAGGTGAAGGGCGCTGTGTGGGTACAAGGGAGAGTGTGGGTGAAGAGGACACATACCTGGTGGAGGTGGAGGTCGGCATTGGTGTTGACATCATCACTCGCTGGTAGTCAAGTTGTCTGGTTGCTTTCATAGCTGTAGATGTAGGCTACGCTTTAGAGTAGATAGGGCGACTGGCGCCATTCACAAGAGAGAGCTACATTTGGGTTATGCTGTTGGTGTTGCCCTGTTGGGCATGGACATCGACTCACGATTCTTCTGTATCATTCTCAATGGGATGGTTACTCGGTTCCATGTGCTATCTGCTTTGGCTTTGACCACTTGGACTTCAGTGTGATTTTGCATTCTGGACTTCGGTGCTTCGTCCATATTCATGTTCCTTGCAATTTGGTATCAGAGCTGGTTTGATCGCCACTTACCTTTGGCACGCTGGCGTTGTACAGACTTGGTGCGTTGACGATGCTTCTTCGCAGTGGGTACTTGTGACGTCAGGCCACGTTAGGTGCACGCCCTGGGTAGAGAGGGGTGCACCGAAAGGCTATTACGGCAGTGTATGCCGTGGGATACAGCGGAATGTTTGATTGATGATGAGAGCATGCTGATGTGGCATTGGACTAAGGTGGCACTGCATTGCGTTGTGGGTGGAAACCGAGGTCATGACCGGTCATCAAATGCAACATCAGCTCAATTGGTGAGAAAATCTGTGGTTGGGGGCAGCTATCTCCAGGTATGTTGATCCCTTACCTTATCTACCTTCTCAATCTCTTCTTACCGTGAGGAAGTGAGTCCAACTTGAGAGTCCTCTCCTTGGTGAGGTGTTGTGAGCGCGCTACCTTGAGAGACGTCAATCTTCCCGGAAGCATCTGGAAGGAGAAAGGGCGGTGCCTCTGAAGGGCCCTGGTCGAAGCACTGGGTCACGGTCACCATGCCAACCCACAGGGAGTAGTGCACGCATGCGATGGCTGCTGTCCTGTTTTGGCACTTGCTGCGCTCAGATAGAAGTCTTGCCAAGTGTGCCAGCCTTGTATGAGACGCTTACCAGACCGTCTATAAACATTTCTAGTTGGGTACTCGGTATGATTATGGCTGTGATCATCGTCCTGACTGCGACGTTAAGAATTCCTGAAGAGATGGGGGCGCTCTTAATAATCCTAATGATCAGCCAGATCATCCGGGTGTAAGGCTCGTTTCCGTACGAGGGTAAATAAGAGTGGGCTGGCTGGCTTACTTGGCTCTGACTTGGGCACAGGGGTGGGCCGATACACACACGAAAACACTGCTTTGCTCAAGATGCTGTTTCGGTATGTTGGATTGAGGGGAGGGTAGGTTCCAATTGGTGCTCAACTGTGTACACAACTATACCCATCAATCATACATCTGCTACATTGTCTTTTTGTACCTTTGATTAGTTGGTTGATGGACTGCTAACCTCACTAACAGATTAATGTAGGACTGTTGTATGCTGCCATAGCCAGTTCTAACTAATGCTGCTGTAAGTGAACCAATTAGGGTGCATCTAGACTATGTAGACAATCTGTATGAATGTTGTAGACATGCCACTTGATTCGGTATAGTAGGGAACTCGCCGGACACAACCATTTATAGAAAACTACGTGCCGGTCAGATACATGCTGCGGTAGGATTCCATTAGGGGATTCTAGTGCAGATACTATCTGCCTAACTAATGAGTGGGTCAGACCCTGTTGATGATAGAGMTGACATTAGGAGACTAACACGTGCAGGGGCATTAAGGGTACCGCACGTGTTCCAGGCCTTAGATCCGGGAGAAGAAAGACGGCTACGTAGAGCCCGTGCGCTAGCAGCGCGGATAGCAGCAGCAAACGCAACAGCTAGAGAACAGGCAACAACAGCGAGAGCAGTAGCGATGGCTAATGGCGCAAGCTCTGCTGCGTCATCATCTGCGTCCTCGTCAGGGACTAATGGGGGCCAGTTGGGAATGCCAACGAGTTCCACAAGTTCCTTGGGCACTTCCGGTTCCACAGGTTCTAGACAGTCTTTTAGTCAAATGGCGGGCGCGCAGTTCAGCCCGTTGACCCCGCGTCAGAGGGAGCTCAGAGAGATCCAGCAGGTCGAGATGCTCCGCCGTAAGTTAGAGCAGGACCTGAAAGAAGCTACCGATAGAGAAAATGCGATGAAAACTAGAGCAGCTAGGCTTGAAACTTTAGAGGCTGACAAGGCTGAATTAGAGGGTTTGGATGAGTCAGCATTGACTGACCCGCTGAAAGTACTGAAGAAGAATATGCTGTCATTACACGCACACGTGGACAGCAAATTAGACTTCATGCAGAGCACTCTAGACCAGATCCTAGATGCGTTGACAAAGCCAGGATTCCGGCGACCAACACAATCACCGTTGCCGTTATCGGCGATGTCAAGCCCCTTTCAAGTTCAAGCTGGTACACAACCAAGTGGTACGTCTGCAGCAGTCTCACAGACTGTTGCATCTTCTTCTTCGGGTCCAGCGGTGGGAGCTACACCACCGCAACAACCTGTTCAGCCATCTGGATAGCCGCAGGGTCAATGGTATCCTAAGACCCCAATGAAACCACCTCTTGCCTTCTCAGGCGAAGGAAAGGGCGAAGAACTCAACACTTGGTTGAGAACAGTCCCGGTTTGGGTGAAGGCCAAGAGAACCTTGCTAGAGGACGAAGTGGTAACTGCGGCATCTTACCTGGAGGGTAAGGCAGCCAAGTGGTTAGATGGTGTAGTTATAAAGGCCGGGTATGGGAGACGCATGGCGGACAGGGCTAAGTCTCTGACGTTAGACCAGTTCATGGAAATGGTAGAAGCTCGATGCCATAACCCACAGGAGGCTGATGCCATTAACAAACTAGACCAACGCAAGTTCAGCTCAATTAGAGAGCTTACGACTACCGTTGAGAGCCCGATCCTCGTCCCAGGAATCAACTACAGCGATCAGTTCCTATTGACTACGTTTGTCAGATGTCTCCCAGAGAACATTAGGAACTTGCTAGCCAGCGAGGAACGCACTGAGTACCACTCGTTTGAGACACTGTCTAGGAAAGCCTTAGACTTGGAGGCCACGCTAGGCAATGCTCAACCCACCTCAGGGAATGACTCAAAGAAGAAGAAGAGTCCTCAAGAGTGGAAGAAGAAGGGGGCGAAGTTGATGATGGTTGAGTCTGATGGGACTCAAACTGAGATCGATGAACTCTCTGACCTGATGGACTACTCAGAGTATGACGGCGAGGAGGTAGCTGAGGGTAGCACCCTCGCCGCGGTAGTTAAGACTAAGGTGGCAGCCCGAGGGAAGGGTCAGCCTAGGGGTCAAGGGAGGACGCCTCCAATCAGACCAAGCAGGCTGAGTGGGTAAAGGCAGGTCTTGATCAAGACGTGTGGCGTGACCGCCGAACGCGTGGTGCTTGTATCAACTGCGGGGAGTACGGACACTCGCAATACAAGTGCCAGAACGCTAAGGTTACGAAAAACGTAGCTCCAAAGATGGAGGCAACCTACTCACAGTCTTCTAGCTCGGGAAACGCGTAGGGCCAGTGGAAGTATTAACCGCTTCGACTCAAGATGAAGTGGGATTGATACCCTCCCCACTTCATGACAAGGCCAAGGCTAATGACCTCTTAGTCACCCCGCAGACACAACTAGACCAAACTATGCTCTGTACGGTAGATGTGTCTGAAGCCTTAGAAGACTTAGAGAATGAGTGGTCAAACAAGGACCCTCGTGAGTCCTGGGTGACACTAAGGAAAGGTCCTAGAGGGGAACATTTCATGGTGGAGGTCGATGTAGGAGGCCGCAAATGTGGTGCCTTCATAGACATAGGCTCCACGCGGAATTACATAAGTCTCTACTGTTTGGAAAGGCTGCACCTATAGGACCGGGTACGGCACCTTAGTAGACCAGTAGCATCTACTTTGGCCAACAAGGAGCGCATGATTGTAACAGACTACATCAAGGACGTAGTCTGTACCTTCTCCTATGGAGGAGGTGAGCTTAACCATAAGATTTCATTCTTGGTTAGCGACGACTTGCCATTTGACATGTTATTAGGCATGTACTACCTCGAAGTTGCTAAGCCCCAGTTCGACTGGGATAAGAAGGTGCTTAAGCATAAGTTGCCCGATGGCCGAACTGTCAGATTGACTAAGTTCAAGGCCAGTAGTATTATAGATACCTATGGCTGCTTGTGCGCATCAGCGTTCTACAATTACTACAAGCAAAACCAAGAGGAGGGTATGTAYCTTGTKTAYGTCTYTGAGAARGGGGAGGCCGTKAAAACACCCCCWGAGATAGAACGTGTCGTTGCTAAGTTCCCTGATCTGTTCGAGGAACCCACAGGAGTTGTTGAAAGGGAAGTCGTCCACGCTATAGAAATCATTCCAGGGAGTAAGACCCCAAAGGGAAGGATCTATAGGATGGCCCCCGCCGAGTTAGATGAACTTCGGAAACAACTTAAGGGGTTGACAGAGAAGGGTTGGATTCGGCCTAGTACTTCCCCTTATGGATCACCCGTTCTATTCATACCGAAGAAGGGGGGTACTTTGAGGATGTGCATTGACTATAGAGGCCTCAATGCCATCACCGTGAAGAACGCAGAGCCTCTACCTCACATAGACGACCTATTGGATAGGGTGCAGGGATGCAAGTACTATAGTAAGATAGACTTGAAATCCGGATATCATCAGATCGCAATAAGATCCGAGGACCAACACAAGACAACTTTTCAGACTAGATATGGTCTGTATGAGTTTGTTGTGATGCCTTTTGGTCTTTGTAATGCGCCGGGTACGTTCCAGCACGCTATGAATCGGATCTTCCATGACCATTTAGATAAGTTTGCCGTGGTATACCTAGATGACATTCTGATCTTTAGTAAGTCTGCCGAGGAGCACGCAAAGCACGTTGAGATAGTTCTCTCACTCCTGCGACAACGCAAGTATAAGGTCAACTTAGAGAAGTGTGAGTTCGGTCACACTAAAATACTATACTTGGGTCATGAAGTAACTGCGGAGGGAATTAGGCCGGAAGATGCAAAAGTGGCTAGTATTCGAGACTGGCCACGACCTCAGACAGTCACTGAGGTCAGGTCATCCTTAGCAATGTGCGGCTACTATAGAAACTTCGTTAAGAACTATTCTACAGTCGCCTCTCTTTTGACTGATCTAACTCGACTTGACACACCGTGGGACTGGAGTAATGAGTGCGAGAATGCTTTCAAGAGATTGAAGCATGCACTCATGAATCATGAGGTCCTCATGGTTTCCGATCCGCAGAAGTCATTCATAGTGACCACTGATGCAAGCCAATACGGCATTGGCGCAGTGCTGGCTCAGCAGGATGGGAAAAAGTTGAGACCGATTGAGTACATGAGTATGAAGATGCCATCGAAGAAGTTGGCTAAGTCCACCTACGAAAGGGAACTCTATGCTCTCTACAAGGCACTTGTCCATTGGAGACACTTCCTTTTGGAAAGATTCTTCTATCTGAGGACTGATCATCAGACCCTCAAATGGATTAAGACTCAACCGGCTCTTTCTGATGCACTCAAGCGATGGATTGAGGTCATAGACCAATATGACTTCAAGCTTGAGTACCTGAAGGGAGAGTACAACAAGGTTGCAGACGCGCTATCACGTAGAGCAGACTACCAAGGTGCGCTAGTTTCTGACTTTGGTGTATCTAATGAAGTAAGGGAGAGTACAACAAGGTTGCAGACGCGCTATCACGTAGAGCAGACTACGAAGGTGCGCTAGTTTCTGACTTTGGTGTATCTAATGAAGTAACTCAATCATTGGTGGGAGCCTATCAGGAAGACCCTGTCACGATGGACATCATCCGCAAACTTCAGGCAAAAGACAAGGCCACAGAAAGTGAGTTTGTGATGGTGGACGGGCTAATCTATCTTAATAAGGCCGGAATAAGGAGATTGGTAGTTCCATCTAGTGAACAGTTGCGTAGTTTATTTTTAGGCGAATGTCATGACGCAACTGGGCACTTTGGCTACAAGAAGACGAGTGCTAACTTAGTACAACAATTTTGGTGGTCCAAAATGCTAGATGACGCAAATAAGTATGTTGAGACCTGTCACGTCTGTCAGCGGGACAAGCGGCGAACTCAAGCCCCGCTTGGGTTGTTGAAGCCTTTACCTATTCCTGATGGTCCAGGATTGAGTGTTTCCATGGATTTCATGGACACCCTAGTGACCAGCAAGAGTGGTAAGAGGCACATTTTCGTCATCATCGACCGATTCACCAAAGTTCGCTAGACTAGTACCAATGCCAGAGACAGTCAGGATAGAATACGTCATCAAGTTGTTCAAGGACAACTGGGTAAGGGACTTTGGTTTACCAAAGACCATCATTAGTGACCGAGACGTTTGATTCACAAGTGAGCTGTGGAAGAAGACTGCGAAACAGATGGGCAGTCAACTTCAGATTACTTAAGGGAATCATCCCGAAGCCAACGGACAGGCCGAACAAATGAATAGAGTTGTACAACACTTGCTGAGGCATTACATCAAGCCCAACCAGGATGACTGGGATGAACAGTTCCCTCTCATCGCCAGCCTGTACAACAATGCTATACATAGTAGCACCGACGTTAGTCCTAACCAGCTGCACTTAGGATGGAAGCCTAGATCAACACTAAACTTCCTCCTACCCGAAAATCGACCCGCTGCAACTCCAGGCACACTTGAATACGGTGTGCAATATGAGAAGTTGCTGCAAGAGGCTGATGAACATATGAAGAAAGCTCAGCAAGCCATGATTGCTTCTGAGAATCAACATCGCAGACAGTCCACATTTCAGGTAGGGGAACGTGTCTGGGTCAAGGCTAGTGAGTTAGGACAGGAGTTCAAAATATCTCGTAAACTAATGCCTCAGTACTTTGGTCCCTGGGAAGTCTTGGATGTAATGCGGGATGAGTTCGATGGTCCCACATATGTCATTCGTGTCCCTGGACACCTACGCACTCACCCAGTCTTTCATGCCTCAAAGCTTGCACCTTTCGCTGAGACTGATCAATTCCCTTCCAGGAGATCAATGCTGCCCCCAACCATGGATGGACAAGTCGACATTGATGACATTGTGGATCACAGGGACATGCCTGTTGCAAAGCCGCTGGGTCGAGGAAGACCTCCTAAACCCAAGAGAGAATATCGCGTCAGATTCAGGCATCACACAGATCCCAAAGAAGATCGGTGGTTCACCAGGGAGGAACTGCTTGAGACAGCTCCTCAGGTGGTGGCAGAATATGAAAGGAAGCTAAAAGGGAAGGCACCTGCGAAGTAAGCATCTCAACGGACTTTCGAAGCTAAGGGGGATGGAACAGGGGCCTTGCGATGATGTACATGTTCTGGGCTAAGGCCCCAGCAAGCCTCGTGCCCGCCCTAAGTGAAGGCGGGCCAGCAAATCAACAAGAGCCCTCTGTGCCAACATTTCATGAAGTGGGGTCCATACAGTTGCAGCACGCCAGTTGGTTGGAGTGCACCGAGTCTCGGATTTCAGCAAATGCTGAAAGCCCAGGGCCTCTGAGTTAGTTAGGCCCTGGGCAATCGAACGTGAGGCCGACAATGCATGCTGGGTATAGAGGCCGAAAATGCCAAAGGGAAATCGGCCCACTATCTGTATCTGGACGCAGGTCTTGATGAAGGAGGCGCAAGTGCATTGCCCCGGGGCCCAACTGTGTCGGGCTGGGTTCAGCCTCCGGGCCCCGGTCACAGGCTGAAGGGAGGCCCCACACGCTGCACTGGCATATAGGCAAGCAGGGCGAGTGGGCAGGGATCTTGGCCAGTGCGGGCAATGCCGCACGCTGCGCAAATGCGAGCCGCCGCTGCTGCTGCGCTGCGCTAAGAGAGGTGCAAGGCAGGCCAGCGCTAGGCGGTAGGGCGCTGCCTGCGCACCAGGGCACTGGCGGCCATAGCTGGGTCGCATGAGGGTGCAGTGAGGGTGAAGGGCGAAGGTGGTCTTCGGAGGTGAAGGGCGCTGTGTGGGTACAAGGGAGAGTGTGGGTGAAGAGGACACGTACCTGGTGGAGGTGGAGGTCGGCATTGGTGTTGACATCATCACTTGCTGGTAGTCAAGTTGTCTGGTTGCTTTCATAGCTGTAGTTGTAGGCTAGGCTTTAGAGTAGATAGGGCGCCTGGCGCCATTCACAAGAGAGAGCTACATTTGGGTTATGCTGTTGGTGTTGCCCTGTTGGGCATGGACATTGTCTCACGATTCTTCTGTATCATTCTCAATGGGATGGTTACTCGGTTCCATGTGCTATCTGCTTTGGCTTTGACTACTTGGACTTCAGTGTGATTTTGCATTCTGGATTTCGGTGCTTCGTCCATATTCATTTTCCTTGCAGAAGTGACTGACAGGTGGTGATCGTGATGATGTGGCCAATGAAAGCCTGCCAGCCAGCTCTGTTTGTGATGACTTGGCTGGCTATGCTGCAATGGAAACCCAGATTGATGGTGAGATTGATGGTGATGTTTGGGATGGCGTGATGGCGCGATTGAGGCTTGGTTGAGCGGACGTTGTTACTATGGAGGCAGGTGATGATGTGGATGCCCTGTTTGCTGATGAACGTGTTGACGTGGCTGAATGCTAGGACCGTATTACTGGAGATCGCTGACGATGATTGTGCTTCTTTGCGTAGTTAAGATCTGGATGCTGATGCTGATGTCGAAGCTGAGGCAGATCCAGAGCGTTGGTGATGATCTTGATGTCGTGACGAGTGACGGTCTGACGATGATGAGTTCGATGACGTGGCCGAGGACGACCTGAGAGCTGCTGATGATTGCTGACTCGTGATGGTCTTGATGCCGTGGCTGACTGGACGTGATTACCTATACTTGCCAATGACGATGACGAGATCGATGACGTGGCCGATGACGCCCTGAGTGCTGCTGATGATTGCGAAACCTAGGATGACGATGATGAGTTCGATGACGTGGCCGACGACGACCTGAGAGCTGCTGATGATTACTGACTGGTGACGGTCTTGATGCCGTGGCTGACTGGACGTGATTACCTGTCCTTGCCAATGACGATAACGAGTCCCATGACATGGCCGATGACGTGGCCGATGACGTCCTGAGCACTCCTGATTAACGGCTGCAAGGTTGCAGGGTGATGACAAACTCTAGGGTGATGATGAATTCCCTAAAAAATCCTCCAGATGCGATGATGGTAGTTGAATGTAGCCCCCCGGACAATGTGTGTATCCTTGGCGTCGGCTACAAGTGCGCGATGGTGCTCCACAGCGATCCATTTCGCTGGCTCCGTGGGCCGTGGTCAATGGCGTCAGCCAGCGGCGCGCGAGGGCGATGGACGCCGTGCACATCCGGCGATGGACACCATCCACGTCCTCCGCGCGTAGACCCGCCCGCCAACCCCGTCCTCCGCACGAACATCTGCCCGCCAATTTCGCCCCGGCACTTTCGCACGCCTGCTACCCTGTGAGCGCTAACCCGTCGGCGCTCGCGGCTGTTTGCTTTACTCCTGCCAATCTCCAATTGTTTTTTTTTTTTTTTCTGCTTTTTTTTTTTGTTCGAGTTCTCTTCAATGTTCATTTCGGGAACCTCTCTCCGTCTCTGTTTCCCTTTTTTTTAACTTTCACTTGATCTTGAATCTTTTCTCTCTCTCTCTCTCTCTCTCTCTCTCTCTCTCTCTCTCTCTCTCTCTCTCTCTCTCTCTGTGTCTGGCCCAGGGGTCTCTCCCTCCGTTTGTCTGTCTGCCCGTAGGTTGATCGGTTGGTCTGTCAGTCAGTTGGTCGGTGCGTCTGACTCTCTCTCCCTCCCTCTCTCTATCTATGTGACTCTATCTGTTGCTTCTTATCTGCACATAGTAACTGGCGACTGCGCGCTGACATCATGGCGTCTTCTGGCTCCGCTGATTTGATGTCTCACCTTCCTGGTCTCCCTTACATCTGTGAGTTTGAGTGGCAAATAGTAAGCGTGGGCAGCCACACCACCTTGTCTCGCAGGTTCGCGTGCCGCAAGTGAGAAGGATAACCTGCATTCATAATGCCAGTTGCCAACTCCAATAGCTCTCGCCGGTTCTTCTTTGCTTGGCATTTGCAAGCCTAGGTTCAATGTCCTCAACTGATGCATTCAGTCAGTCTCCCAGCTTTCTGCGGCAAATCCACAGCTGTGAAGCTCTCTACTATGCACTATGCATGGGTCCAGTGGACCATCTCACGCCAAAATGTATAGATCATGCAACTTCGTCACTCTCAAAGAACTGTAACCATCACTCTTAGACAAGGGTAGGAGAGAAGAATGCTGCATGACGCAGCTTATATTATCAAAATTATGTTTACAAAGAATGCCAATGTTCCCTGAACTTAGACGCACTCCCAGCTCATCACATATTCAGTCCCTAACGCATCAAGACAGCATGTACACTACAGCGCTGTCTCTGGAGATCACGTCTCAGTCCAGGTAAGTATCTTCCATAGCCCAAAGCTCTTGAACACCTTCTGATGTAGTTCCTTTCTCCCTCGTATGCATGAACACTCTCTCTTCTCTCTCAAGGACCTACTCTGAATGCATCTCACGGGTCTTCCTCTTCTAGTCTGTGCTAGGCAGCTATGGCTGCTCCTACTACTAGCATCCTGGCCAGGCAGCTAAGGCTGCATCATCCTGCACCAGCGCGCAACCTCTGCCTTCAGCACCACTTCCAGCTCCAGTGCATCCTCCTCCTTCCACCAAATAGCACACAAGTGGCCAGCACTTCCATGCCAGTGAGGAATCTGCCACAAATGAGGCGAGCAGCCTCCTTTATAGTGCTGGATTCCACGTTCAGCATCTGAATTGGCACTTCGGCCCTGTCCCAGGCCCTGCATTGCATGTGTCCCAGTGATATCCCAGAAAGGTACTGCTGCTTTTTGGCATTCGGCCTGTATTTCAGACAGTAGGACTGGATCTGGACTGCCTACAGAAATTAATTCAGTATTGGGACTTTACAGTTATCTTGACCTTCGAACAGACACAACAAATTGACGAACAGACACACAACCTATTCGAATAGACACTTTATATTGCACGAACAGGCACTATCTGCACAGCCCTTTGACACACCCTGTGGCGGAACCACAGGGTGTGGTGCTCCGCTAGTGACAGAGATGGAGATGGAGGAAGAAGGGGGGAGCAAGATGCACAGCGCAGCTCCCCACACAAGACTCCAATGCACGTACTCCAAAATGTGCAAGTGAAGAATGGCCTGAAAACAGACAATGGCTGGGGTATACCCCAGCGGACTGACGGGACTGGACTGGACTGGCTGGTACCGACAGAGGTACCGGCCTGGACTGGCCTACCCCGAATATAA